TTTATTTGTTTTCACTAAAACATTAAATATTAAAATATTAATAAAATATGCTTGAATAAATTACATTTTTACTGCTTTATGTAAGATTCATGTTTTTTGTTATGATTCTAGTTGCAATTTGTGGTAGATGACGTGAGCACCATTATCAAGGAAGCGATTGAAGTGTCAATAGGTGGCAATACTTATCAGCATAATAAAGTCAATCAATGGACTTCGAATGTGGTAGAAGCTTGCTTGGGCAATCTTACAAAATTACAGAAGGCCTATAAATATATCGGTTTGTAAGACTAAATTTTCACCTCAAGAAAAAGACTTTATATTAACATTGACCTTTACACATGTTTTGAAATATTTTTCTTTACATCTCTTTGATATTGAAGTATATAATTGCAGTGACTTGCACAATCATGCAGAAAAATGGAGCTGGACTTCATACCGCAAGTTCATGTTACTGGGATAATGCTACTGATGGCAGTTGCACAGTGCGCTGGGAAAATAAAACCATGTATTGTATTGTATCTGTTTTTGGATTGGCTCTATAAATTTATCTGTCTGCTTAACAAATTTTGCGTTTGAAAAGAATTCAATATTTTGGCAATTATGAGGTATTTAGTAAATGCCATACTTTCGAAAATAAAATGTTTTGTTCTTGTTCGATAAAACTTAATATTTTTGCAGAAATTAGGGAAATAGCAGAGTATGACTGCTTAAAAGTTACACAACGCAATGATTAATATATGTAATGTACTAAAATTGGACATGTATACACAAAATAGATTGTGCTGAGATATATTTAACTTTCTTATATTTACTTTAACGAAGAATGATATTTTTTATCTACAATTGTAACTTCTATAAAAGAATAAATGCAAGATTTATAATTCTTATATTATTGCACAATATAATTGTGCATGTTAGATGAGAAACAAGGTATATTTAGATTCGACAAATAACCCAAAATATATACAAAATGTTTCAAGGGATTTGTATTATAAACTTGTAAAAAATACTTTTTTTTTATGTTATTCTGTCATTTATTTTGACTATTTAAATGATTATTAAAAAACGAATTTGAACAAGTTTACATATGTACAATTTCTTAATTTATTGAATAATAATGAAGTAAATTTTTACTTTATTATATTTATTCAATTATATGTAATAAACATTTTGTATAATATTAGACTATTTGCCTTTGTGTAAATATAAATAAGTAATTAGAATTAACGAATTATTAAATTAGATATTATTTGCATTGATTATGTCGTCAAAATGGCGATAATATAGAAGTATTGATTTTGCTGTCAAAATAAATAAAAATAAATTATTTAAGAACGTTTTTTTTTACATATAGAGAACAATTGAACATTAAGTTCATCACAGTTTACAATTCTGTGGTCTGAGGTAGACTTTCATCATCGTCGCTTAGAATAATGTTATCATTTAAAAGAATTAAGTTGTAATTTAATTTACTTCCAAATTCATCATCAATGTACATATCTTCGGTCGTATATTGGTTGCCTTGTATGTTCTGTAATAAGGATCGAATAAACAATTTTATTAGTATACAAACATTTACTTGTTTACAAAAGTTGAAAGTAGAATTTATAACAAATTTCAAATTATAATTTCAATTTAGTTACAATCATTATGATTTGTGTATAAAATTTAAAATTGTCTACTTACTTTTTTATTTAAAACAGTTCTTGGGGAGGCATATGTTACCAAATTATTCAGTTTTGCGGGTAGAGAACGCCTTCTTGGTAAATCTTTCATTATAACACTACTCATAGGACGTATGTTAACATATTCTCTTTCATCTAATCTAATTTTTTGCGGAGTTGAGGTATTCCTGCTTGTAAATGTTATCTTATTTTGATCAGTCTTTTTCGTGGATTGTTGATTCTGTGATGTTTCAGATTCAATTGACGTTTTTGTAGTCGTAGAACTGAGCGTTTGGCTATCTAGGAAAGCTTGATTGAAGATTTGTTCGTGTTCTCCAGCAGTTTTGTTAATAGTTTTTATATCTTTAACTTCATCCATTGAAAGATCTAGAAAACTCCCGTTGCTAGATGTCGATTTTTCGATAACTTTGATCTCGTGGTTGTCATTATATCTTGTTCCATACAAGTTTTCAAATACAGTTTTGCATTTTTGTATATAACTTAAGTCTACTTTAGAAGGTGTTGTTGAACTTATTATTTCCGTGGCACGATCGAGGGCATCCTTTAAGTTTTGTATGGATTGATTTGAAGTGATTGAAATGTTTGCGGAAATGCTATCACTCATGGTTTTTAATGACTTTTTGTTATTTTCAGTACAATTACCTTTGATCATAATAAATAACTTATTTAGAAATGGAAAATTATATAAAAGTACATAAATAAAATTAATTTTATATTAATATTTAATATCACAAATTTTGAAAAATGAATCAATCTTGATTTACCTTTCTCAATTCCAATTATATATGTAGTATCAGCATTTTTTACATGTGGTGTGGAATATTGTACTTTATCATCATCAGTGATAGAAGTGTTGCAACAAATTGTTTGTTGCGATAGTAAGGAATCCTGAAAGTATAAAATAATAAAATATACTTAAGAGTTTTGAAATAGTATATAACTAATATAATATTAAAAATAATATTATGTACATACTTCACTGTGTTCTTTACTGTTGCGTCCCATTCGTGATAAGCAAATTTCTTTTTCTTTTCTCCATAATGTTGACTCATAAAAGCTTTTAGCATCAGAATGCAAAACTTGAGGCTGCATTATTGCATGTTTAATACTGGAAGGCATGCCCGTGTATGGTGCCTGTGGGAGGAAAATAATTTATATGAGTAAACTAATAAATATTACTGTGTATATGTTTATATTCTGCGTATACATATTCACTCAAATTTCATATTTGTACATTACAGTTAATATAAAAATGTACTGTATATTTTAGACAAATATTGATTTATGTATGCATCACTAATAAAATTTTAATCGAAATAAAGTACCTTTCGCCGTGGTGTGCATAATTTTGAAATAGCTCCACCATATTCACTAGAAGACTTATTGCATTTAGGTTCTATAGCGGTTGTATGATTAGCTGGTTTACATGGTACATAGTCAAGACTTTTTTCTTGTGACAATAATGAGCTTGTAGCTTTCGGATCTATACAAAATTATAAGAGTAACTAAAAGCTACAAGATTTTGAAGTATAGAGAATAAAAAGGAATCTAAATTATATTCATTTGATACATTCTTCTCGATTGTCTCAATACGATTATCGACATTTTGACATTTTTATTTCAATCTAATTAATATATAACGTTGCATAAGCATTAAGTTAATTAAATTTGTAAAATAACTGTTTGCAACAGAGATATAATGTAACTATAAATGTAAAAATGTTAAACATAAAAATGTTAGTAAATATAAATATATTCAAAATTTATATATTAATTTCACTTACATGAGGTTGAATAAGAAAAAGTGGAGTCGCTTCCGAAGAAAAAGTCTTCCCTTCTACTGGCTATCAGTTTTTTTAATCGTTTTATATTAGCACGTGCATCATTCTTTTCATCTAAATCTTGTACTATATTTGAAATTTCTGCACAACGAGTGCAAGGAGTGGTAGTCTCTACCTTAATTATGGGACTCACGACACTATCATTGATTACAGTCATTTTCTTCATATTTTTAGAATCTAAGTCTCCATTGCATTGCTCTTTCTTAGATTTGAGAAGTTGACTGGACATAGATTTTTTTTCTCCCATAGGCTGACATGATTGTCCAGTGAATGGTTTTATGGTCAACATCTTATTTTGCGTGAGAGACATAGAAGAAGTCTTTTGATATAGTGTATCATTATATAAAAGATCATTATTATTTCTGTTTTCATTTATAAACGTGTCATTCTTCTCTTCTTCATATATCATCTTAAAAAAAAAATATAAGTAAAATTGTAACGACGCATCCTAGTGAACAAAGAATTACTGTACGAAAAACCAATAATCGACAAAAGCTATGCAAATTCTAAAAATTATATTGCTAAATAATTATATATTATATCTATTGCAAATTTACCAGCAGCCTATGAAGTTTTTTTCCTATTCTGTCCATATCTAACATTATCATTGTCTCATCAGGATGCAATCCAGCCTCTAGTAAGCTACGGAGGATCGATGGGACATTCTGTAAATTTATAACAATATCTCGTTTTCGCACCATGTGCTGCCGTTCTACATTTGATTGATCATATCCGCTCCACGGTACATTTCCTATGGAATGTTATATAATAATCATTATTAAATTACTATCAATTATTTAGTTCCTTTTGATGCGATTTTAATATTTTATTTAAAAAACTTTATAATTATTTTTTTTATTAAAAGATAAGAAATTATATTAATATACTATATGTATAAAAGTATATATACTATTAGTGTAATGTACTTGCCTGTACACATTTCCCAAAGTAATAGCATCAAGCAGTAAACATCAATTTTTTTATTGGGTTGTAGTCTGTAGCATATCGCCGGTGCTTGCCACTTAAAATTCTCTAGTCGTAAATATTTTTCGAAATCACGTTCTACATAAGTCTAAAAACAAAAGAAATAATAGCAGGTATGTTATTATAAGAAAAAAACAATATTAAAAATGTATTTTAATATTTCATATTGAGTTATACATCTTATGAATATTCTTTATGTATTACCAATATTAAATAAGGAATAAATCTAATTAAAAAATTGCGACATAAATTTGCAAGACTTTTGGGATAAGATAAAAAAACTGTGATTAATAATATTTAGATTTTTATATTCAAACTTTATAATGCAATTAGTTATATAAATATAGTAGTTCTAAATTTTTTCTTTTGATTCTTATTTGTCTTCGCGATAAGGTTTTTTCGACGTGATTCTATGTTAAGTATAGTCCTTATTGCTGAAAATAATCTATCATATTTAATTGCGATTATAAGTTCCGCGTTCCAGACAGCGCATGCGATTAGCATCGACACGGTACAGCGAATTTATTCAGAAACGAACATTTTGTCGAAAACAATGCCAGTCGTTTCCGTTGGTGAAACGCTCATGGGTGTGTCACGGAATCGCGGATATGACGTGATCCGTTTCATTACAGTCTATTCTGTCTGTGAACTTTTTAAATCTGCTAACACATGATTTTAAACACGTAAAAGTGTATTCGTCGCGTGCTTAAGTTGATAGATGTGAATAAAAAAATATGCATATCTATTGTTTCATTAAGGAATAATAAAGTTACTTAGGTAACTAGTAGTTAACATCATTTAAATTATACATATAACGCAGAAGTAAAGAAATACATAGATGTATATATGACAATTTATTACATATATTTGTAGCAAAATATCTTATAAATTTATATAAATTCTATACTTTAGCAAATTATTTAGATCGTTCATAAAAAGATACGTGTACAGATTCGTACTTAATTAAAATAATTAACATTTAATATGATTTACGTTTACATGAAATATTTCAAAAGTATATACTAATATTTTGAGAATGCAGTAAGGCATAAAAAAGCTTAAATTTCACATACTTTTTCCATTTCTCTAGCCAGTTCCCATCCACCAAGTTTGATAGTCGTATCGGTTGCAAAATAAACGCAGTGTGAGCTAATCGCTGTGTGTATGTATCCTCGCATATGACAATATTTTAATGCGTCCGCCAATTTTATACCGATTTGCATAATTCCTGGTACGTTTATTCTTTCGCCTTGCTCGTGCATATAATTGTACAATGAGCAGTCGATGGATTCGAAGATTGAGACGAGACCATGCTCGCTTGTATATGTTGTAGCCATCAGCAGT